AGATAAATGCCTGAAGTTCATCATTTAGGTGTTAATCCAATCCAATATGTAAATTTTCAAAATGTATGAGTCATACATTCCTTTACAACTTCCACAAAATACTACTTGAAAATTGTGCATATTCTCATCTGAACTGGAAAGACCTAACAGGGAAAAACCAAAATACAGTAGGGTCTCCAAGAACTTGTAAGATCAATAGAAAAATAAAAATAATATTACTGTAGTTCCATTAATATGTACAGTATTGTATGTGTCATGTCTGTGTCATGGGTATCTCTCTGTTGTTTACTAGAACAATGTATTTGTTGGGCGAATGGGAGGGGGAAGGGAGGGGAGGGGGAAGAGGCGTGAATCCTTCTCAATTTACCCTCCTCCTTCAGATATCAGTTGGTTAAGGCTCATCCTTAACGATTATTTGAACAGACTTATTTAATTTTAGGCTTAAATATTTCCTAATTGCAAAAACAATTATTTCAAAATTGGTACATCGAACAGTAGCACACAACATTGCAGAAACAAAATTTAAAATTTTACTTTGGGACCATACCTGTACAAACAATATAAGAATATTAAAAGTTAGAGAGAGACTTAGTAACCTAGTACCCGAATACTATGGTAGGTAGTAAATTACCAAAAAATCATTTGTTATTCATTACACTGCATTAACTATACAATAATCATGATAGATTACAGGCTGCCAAATAGCAAAGTAGTACTACCAGCTAAAGACCCTTCCATCATAATCCATTCATCATAATGTTATCCACAGGGAAGGTAGCTGAGACATGTCATTTCTGACAACTCTCATTTAATTTGATATTTCAACTGAACTGCGGATATTTCAGAGGAGAACAGATGGTGTCATCGCTGTTGCCAGAAATATGGTTGCCAGAAAATAACAAACAGGGTATGACAGCTTGCCATTAGATTTGAACAGAAGCTATGTACTGTACATGGCTAATGGTTTAAAATCCCAAGTGGCAGTCACAAATCAATAATTTTCCCCCAGTATAAACATGGATTATCCTGATCCAAACATTTTTTTATAATTACTGTCAATCAGTTAAGGATAAAAAAAAAAATACTATGATTAATTGAATTTGACCAATATTAATCAAGATAGTGAATACTGATTTGATTGAAAAGATAAACATATTACATCTTTCACGCACATATTCTGAATTAGAAGATTAACTAAAAAAGTGGATACTGAGTAGTTCAGTGTTTTAGGGGTTTTCTCTCCTAAACAAAAAAAAAATGGCATCAACTAATTGCAATCTAGGCACGACATTACTGTAATCACTTAAAAAAATATACATTATTTTAAGTATAAATAATTATTAAATTTTATTTAAATTTAGAAACTTTGCTATTGTAATAAATACCAAATATGGATTTTTTTATAGATGAGGCAAAAATTATTGAAAGATTTATAGAACTCAACTGGCATCTTCTACTGTAAGTAATGGTATTCATTTCATTAAATAAAGTAAAGAAGGGTAGTCTTGTATTTATTAGTGTTACGTACTTTAGGGGAATGAGCTGTTAGGCCATACTACAGTATTGTAAGCCTTACATTGTGTGGTTAGGTGGCATGTTCCTTTCCATGCCGCCCTTTTCCTCCCAGTAGTGAACCGGGCACCCATACAGTACTCCTGGGTGTAGAGACAAATGTAGGTAAAATTCACAGCGAAGGTTCGAACCCTCGACCTCAAGGTTGAGAGACAGAAACACAACTGATGTGCCAATCACTTGCACGGTATGGATAAATCTAAAATTAACCAATCATCTACTACTGTACACGATTGTTGAATTGTCAGTCGTCCAATTGGTCAGTCATTCTATTGCATGAGTAAATGGCCACATCAACAATTTTAGGTCAACTGAATAAATATTTCAGAAATCAACCATTCAATACTAATGTATAAATACTATATAACATTGAAGAGGTGTTGGAGCATAAGCCTTCAACAGATGTTACCATACATAAAACTGTTGCAATACAGTAGATCTGAAAATAGCAAAATGAATAAAAAGCAACCTATTGAAAGACTTATAATTATACAGTAGTAACTTAATAATAGTTATATACTAACTGATCAACAATTATTAAGATATTAATTTCTGTATTGTTAACAAACATTCATTTTGTTTTCCTATGATATTTTGTCTCTTGTTAATTCATCATATTCTAGTTTTTTAATTTATAGTATGGGCACAATTTTTGAAGTATGCTGCTATTAGGTGTATAGTATGTTTAGATTAATTGAAGCCTGCAGCAAAAAGGTTGTGTTTACCGTATTGGATAAATTCTGATCATCACAAAGGGTAAGACATTAATAGCTAAATCAATAGAAAAGGAAAAATATTAAATTATAATAGCATGCTTTCCAAAGAAGATTTAATTGGGCAAATGTTGAAATTATCATGATTTTTTTTTTACTAGTCAAATAAAATGCCATGAAAATTAAAATTACACAAACCTATTATTACATTATTGATACAATGTCAATATATGGTTCTTAAACATTTTTTTTAATTGGTAAAACCGATAAATTTGTCAAAGTGAGAACAGTATACAGTATTCATAAATTATGTTCACTCAAGCAAACTAGAATGTTTGTTGAAGACAGGTGGAATACAGGTTGAACAACATAGAGATCAATTAAAATGTGCGAAGTGATGCATGTGTGATAAGTCAATGCTTTAATGCAGAGTGCTGGCTGTAATCAATAAAAGCCAGCAACTTCTAATCGCTACTGTACATTTAAACTGGATTTTAAAACTCAACGTTATACTTACAGCACAACTACTGTACTCCAGTACAGTACACCTTGTTTTTATAAACTTTTTCATGTACTACTGAGTCTAAACTATTTGTCCTACTAAATCAGGTGAAAACTTGGCAAAAGAATGTTCAGCTATTAGTAGAAATAAAAGATGAATTAAAAGAAAATTGGCTGGAAAATTCTAGTTTGAAGAGGCTGTGATGCCTAGTGATAAAAAGCAAGAGTGGAATCTCATTGAAGCCTCAATCTCCACACACAGAAAAGGCGATCTCTAATGGGGAATAGGTTACCACATTTAATGAGCAATGTTAGTATCATGGACGAAATCTGGAATAGCCTAGAGGCACCAACATCCCAAATAATCAACATGATGATAGAGTGAGAAAAGATCAACAAGCTACTAGACCAGCTAAACTCAAGTCTGAATGTAGGCAACTATTAGTTGGCCTACATGGCATTAAATCTCCAATGCAGACATAACTGTAAAATCCATCCCTCATTGATAGGGGCTAGGAATAAGCTGGATTCTTCTTATGAATACTGCACACTTTAGGATTATTTGAAGTTAAATATTTGCTTTTAATTTTATCTTGTTCATTTGTACAGCACACATCACTGATATTGCTAACACTTTTGATTGTGAAATCATTCCATATCAAGAGAAAGCAATAAAATACTAACTGAACAACTGTCAATGTCAGTACACACTCAATAAAGTTACAAGATCAGGTATGATTTCATAAATCAATTAATCTACAGAGGGCAATGTATAACAACTTAACAATCAATAAATAATTTCCTATGTTAGGAGATAGTATAAAAGGGGTTACTTACAGCGAGTAAATGTGATCTGGGTTCAATATCAGCAAGCTCACATTTTCACATTATTTATAAGGCTACACTAACTGTACTGAAAATGTGGAAATGTTAATCAAAGGTCAACTCAGTGCCGGCCTGGGCACCTTACCTGGTTTGTTGAGAGCAATTTCATGCCAGGCGCGAGTCACAGGCTAGTTCAGACTACACATTCTACTAAACTGAGTTCAGCTTGGCTTGGCTCTCAAGCCAAAACATGACCTGTGTTGAGTTCATACACACTAATATTCAGAATTTGAATTGCTTATTTTGTAATTAATGGATAAATTATTAATATTATTATTACTGATTAGCATTAATTGAAATTAGAATAACAAATACCTTCTTTGCCACTGATACATAAAACAGTTCTTATTCTATAGGCTACACTTTCTTAGTTTAATTGGCAGGCAGATATTCTTACACATTTTGTTAGTAACAAAATATGTGGAAATTTGATGCAATCTGAATGATCTGAATATTGTTGGAGACAAACTGTTGGAATAATAAGGCACCCAGGTATAGTGATATGCAGGAAGTTGAACATGAAAAAAAAAAGAATATAAACAAACATTGCTGACAACAATACTCATCCATGATTATTGATCCAATGACTCAGACATACAGAGTTCCCATGACCTTTAAACTTTGCTAAAGCACCTCTTATCTTTAAACATGGCAAAAGATTGAAACTACAGTTACTTCTAGGCTAAAGTGAAAATTACAATTCTATCACACACTAGTTCACTGAGAGTTTACATCCTGATGTAAAATAGAGAATGTAAACAATTACCAAAACACACATGACACACTCTACTGCGGTAACACTTACCAGATTGTTTCATTACTACGAAAAATATCCTAGTTACAGTTTTCACACTATTTTCACTTTTCCCCAAAAGCACATGATTTACTACATATACTGTATTTGAAGCCAGTCTTCAGAGGAAAAATAGTTTTGTGGTACAACTGATGTTAAAACACATAGTTTATGGTGGGCAGGGCCAAACCTCCTCCACCCACCTTTATCAACCCCCTTTTCCATTCTTAAAATCACTCTTATTTAGAGTCAAACACCCACACACCATTAAAATGTCTACCACAAACCCTTTAGTTTTCTAGAGTTACAACCCTTAACGGTTAGATAGATTTTTAAATATTTAAAAACTGGGAGAAAAAGGGAAATAATCAAAACTATGACGTTTTAAAGTTCCACTTTAAGTTTGCTCTTAGAAAAGAAAGTATGGACAATACAATACAGTAGATATTAATTCATTACCTACAGCCTGTTGAAAGAGATGATACATAAACAATCTATTCATTATCCACAGCAGAGCATTATTTATAGAAACCTACCTTAATCCTGACTTCCAGTACCGTATGTCCTACAGAACAAACACTAGACAGTCCAAAAAAAAGTGAGAATATATCACAGGTAAAAAAAAATCCACATTTACTTCACCAGAGGGCCATTACACCTGAGAATAAAAATTAATTTTTAATTATTTTACAACAATTATAACATACACTGTATAAATAATATATTTAGTCTTGGAATATTTTGTTCAAAGCACATACTTTAAAAGTAAACTGGAATCCACATCAAAATTATTTCATATTGAATTTTACAGTATTAATAAGAGATATTACTATAGATTATGATAATTAGTCAGCCATCAGGACTGACCCCTTTTTATTATGTATGAATTAATTAGGTATGGTATATAAATTGTATGTAACATGTGTTTTTTACATTTATAATTGCATGCAAATTTGCCAAAAAAATTAGTTTTTTTGGGGCGAGTACAAAATAAATTATTATTAACGAAAAAAAAAGGAAAAAATGAAAACAGGTTAAGTAGAGAGAAAAAATTATTTTAACAACAAAATACTGTAACATACCATAATTCTATGAAAGATAAAAACAAATTATTTCCATGTCAGTGATGACAGATATTACCACAATGATTTGATTGTCGTAAATCTGATGCGACCTTTTAAAAATTGTGCAAATAATGTTAACCAGGTAAACTTCTGTACTGAATAATGCTAAATATTTTTGCCATCAATACTTTAATATTTCTGCAATTCTAAAGTTCAAATTATAAAATACAGTACCGTAAGTCTTTTGCTGGCCAAGAGAAGAAACTAAAAAACACAAATTTATGGGCTTTTTCTGATTTTGTCTGTTTTAAGCAACCGAGGCTATTTTTAGAAAAGAACAAAAAATAATGAGACAACATCTGCCTGTCTGGCAGCCAAGCCATTTGGATGTACTGGTATACATTTTACCAAAACTACAGTATAAGAAGTACACTATATATAGTTAATATTGTTAAAAGCTACTGAAAGTTAGTTTATCATATAAGATCATGTACTGTAGACTCCAAAAAGACTAATTTAAGAGAAGCCACAATTCAATATTTCTTTCTTTATCTGAACATTATCAATCAGCTAATATTGTATAAAGTATAAGAAATTTGAATGAATTTCATATTATGTAACCTAAAATTATAATTATTGGAAGTGTCAATTATGTAAAGAGATATTCCAACACATCTGTTTAACCAGAACCCTGCGGGTGTGTACGTTCCTTTGTACGTAAATATAGTTTAGAGGGATATGTAGTCCAGTAATGGTTTCTAATGTTTTTACGTACACCTACACCCCCATACAGGTCCGTCCATCAAATGCTGTACATTTACATACCTGCCAACATTCGAATATCAAAAATAGAGACGCTATTCATTGGTGACAAAAAATTAAGATGGCAATTTTATATCCTAATTCCTGTACAGTTGCTTCAAACAAAACAAGAGTTACTTAATTTCAAGTGTACTGTTTATTTACCTCACAACCAAGAAAAAATATTTAAGTTACATCTTAATCAGTAGGCTTACAGACTTCACCATGAAGGGCACGGTATGTTGCTTGTTTCGCTAGATCTCATTGGAGTCATAATGTCAATATTTATTCGAATGACACTTATAATCTCTGTTCAACATTTCCAGCTTTTGTTGTCATGCTAGCTCGAATCTTGGTTTTGTTTTTTCAACAATAGAGAAAACTCTCTCAGTCACTACTGCTATAAAATATTACCATAGTTCCCCGGGTAGAATCCCACACCGACTTTACGCCCAACTTCGCATACACAAATTTCCCCAGGTGAAGTCCCAGGGTCTGAGGATTGGGTAAGTCGGCCTAGGTCGATAAATTTAACAAATGCTCAAAAAATAAAGGAATTGTCTCCGAATTCTGCCGACTTGAAACTCTTATAAAAATTGCTTAAAACTGACATTGGTCGTCATAAATAAACACAAAGCCCATTCTTGTAAATTATTTTGTTGTTTACTTTCGCTAAAAATAAGCAGCTCGCTAAACTGCAACACCACGGTCCGTCCCTGAAAAGACCTGCCTAGTGGGCTGATCGGATCTTTAATTCACAGCGTGAAGACTTGCCTGTTTCCACAGAGATTTGCTGCTAAAAATAACTTGTTACATCATGCAAGACTGATTTCTTCGCCCGAATATTGTTTTGATAGGCTATTGAATCGTAGGTGAAAACCACCTTGCAAAACGATCATCATTTCCGTCTGTTCATACATTAGGCCTAGGGAATCCCGCGGGTATAATTCCTCCCCCCCCCAAAAAAAATCGGGACAGTTTCGCGTTCATGGGGATGGGATTATACCCGGGGAACCACGGACTAATATTCCCTTCATCACACTGGCAAGTAATGGATACTTCTTGCAAAAAAGTATCCATTAAAAAACACCAAAAATAGGGACGTCCCTATTTTTTGGTGTTTTTGACATTGGAAATCGGGACGTCAATTTGAGATAACAAATTTTTAAGTATGATTAACATTTTCGGGTATCCAAAACTGTAATGTCCTAAAAAGTGTCCTTCCCTGAACCGCACCCAGTTCTGGTTGCGTTTCAGGGAATAAATATTGTAATGTTTGTTCGTGTTCCTTGTAGTTGATGGGAATGATTTTCATTATGGTGACGCTCTTAATGCCTTGACGGTGTATGGTAAGAATGGCCCCGGTAAAAATGGCCCCGGTAAAAATGGCCCAGGAAAAAATGGCCCTGGATGACAGGTAGGTAAAAATATCCCCAATAATAAAATTCTGTATTAAATAAAACTTATTTTATTTAATTTGATTGTGATTATTTGATTGTACCTACAGGATGGAACTAGGAATAAGGCTTGGCAGTCAACATGTTGATCATAAAACTAAATAAATCAAGTCAGATAAATATTAATCTATTATTATTATTATTATTATTATTTATTATTAGTAATCTAATTGATTTTTTTTATTTTTTTTTAACAAAATTGGCAATGTATCACACAAGTTCTTTTTTTTTTGACCATGCAATGAGCCAACATAGGATACTAATGTCCTTCTGAATTTGAGGTCAATTTAAGATCATGATAATGAGAATTCCTTAACTTGTACATTTTCAGTTGCTACTGACTGACACACAACTAGCCATTTAGCCAAGGGCCTTTGATTGCAAGACCAGGTTGGCTTTAAGTACTATGCATAATATTAAACTTGGGTTGACTTTTCAGCATAACCCTATGCCATCTCAATCAAAGACACAAATTTCTATTATCCATTAGCAAGTACAAATTCTATTAATTAATTAATCATTAAAATTTAATGATTAATTAATTAATCATTAAATTTTAAATTATTTGTATTTGTATAGTATTAACTTTTTGCTTTATAATGATTTTATTTCTTGTAGGCACTCTGAATTTAATATTCCTAATAATTTTTAGACTTTTATGTTTTTGGACACACCACTCCTGTAGAATGAGTGCCACTCATCCTATAAAACTATGAAACCAATGAAATCTAATGTTTAGAAACATTCAGGAATCTGGACTACTCGTTTTAAACACATTACTGAAGCACAGGCTAATAACCATCAGTTGTTTAAAAGTTAGCAGGCACTCCTAAATTTTTTCGTCTTACAAAATTGTTTCTTCTTTTGAAGTTAGAAATTTTTTATTCTTAGTTCACTTTCTAAGATTACCAAAAACCCAAATCATCCCCTACACCCCTTCCTTCCCTCATGCCGTAATTTTTCCATCTCTCTTAGAAACTCCCTCCACACCCAATTTCTTCGACTTTCTGGTCGCTCATTGAGGTTCTTGACATCTATCTTTCCTCATGCAATTGAAATGGCCAATGACCTAACCATTGACCCTTTGTTTATTTCCCCCATTGAGATTAAAATTAAATTAGGCATTCATAACTAGTGATGTAAGATATTTATTGTGTTGATTTTGTATTGCTATTTGTTAATGAGTGGATAAAATAGCCCTATTTTATTGACCCTCAAGATACCACAGTCATTCAGATCAATGGGAATTTCCTAAAATTTAAATTAGACATCACAGGCTGTCTGGTTGTTTTTTACAATCTCACCTCACAGAATTTGAACCAACAACATTCTGACATCTTGACAAGTTGTTTTGTTATCAAAAATCTCTGACAGACTAATTCACGGTTCTGTTTAGGTCTCCTAAACGATATCATAAAAAAATCCCTGTATGCTAAATTGTACACAAATTATCCGTCTGTTTTTCCTGTCCTGCAATTATTAAAACCTGCCACAAAAAAAAACTGAAATGTATATGAATACGCACACAGGCGGTCCTGGGCCTGCGGAATACAACTGTCAACAGTTAACTACCACCTTATTAATGGTTGTTTGATAACTGACATTGTTGGTTAAATTTTTCCGTAAGTGAATACAGTACACAAGGAAAAGTAAAAAAAAGAAAAAGAAAAAACATGTCATTCGTAATGAAAATCAACAACAAATTTGAATAAGGTCCCTCTCACATCAAAGTATGATCTCAAACCGCTGCGCTAGCTGTCCTTGGGACAGATCACGGAATGTACAGTACTCGCGAGTTGCAGGGAATCTGCATTTTGGATGAAGCACCGAGTCTGCATTGGAAAGATCATCTTCCTCGTCAACAGAGTTATTTGATGATTTCACTCCGAAGGTGACTCATAGAGTATATGAATGTGTATGTAACATAGTTTGCTATGTAACTTTAGACAAACAGGATGTGAATCTTTATCTTTATATTTCCTGTTAAAAATTGTTACCACACAATGTGTTAATAATAAACAATGCCACAAGTGAACAAGTGAAAATTAACATTGTTACATATATAAACATGTCAATGTGACATATTTTCATGTCTTCATTTATCATGTCATCGATCACAAAAAATATTTAATTGTGATGTGATACTAATACCTGCTGGAGGTTTATTTAAATATATAATTAATCATTTTCAAGATAAGTGTCAGTGATAAATGTGGCATATGATCATACTTCTTGTGGAAATATTTTTCTGCCTGTTGCATGCACAAACAAAGCACTGCTATGCTAGTATATTACAAGAATAAATTTACGACAAAAATTTACAATTGACGAGGTTTCCTTGACTATCGACAACAGCAATCAGCTACTGATTACATTTTCACATTGTGCAACACCTTGTTTTTCCTACAGTACTTCGCAACAGGTTCACAAATTTGCAACTCCCCTCCTTTCATATTTTCTGCCAAAAGGGCTTTAACCATCATTATCTTATTTTATTGTTCCTAAACCACATCCATAACGTTCTTATTTTATTGTTCCTAACCACATCCATGATGATGTTCTAACTCCACGCCACATCTTTAACAAGCTGTAACAAAGGCCTAAAAAACTTTGTGTTGCCGAAACCCAGACTGAACTAAAATATAAAAAAATCTAGGGTCTTCTAATTCTTCTGAAAAGGTTTTACTTTTTCTTTCATAACTTTTGTTATTCCTATATGTCAATCAACATGAACAAATCTGTATCCAGCTACTGTACATTTAAAAACTGGAATCATGAAATAATTATTAAAAAGCTTTAATACAGTACTGTTAGAAAGGGGTGTAATTTAGACTGCCTTGTTGAAAAAATCACGGAAGCTGCAAAACATGTTCATAAAATTTGAAGCCTCATGCCTCAACTCTCCAATTACAGTATCTGAACAATTTTTTGAAATATATTAATTCAATCAGACATTACTGTTAAACATCATGTATAGCAGAACTGAACCCCCAACCTCCCCCCACACTCCTTTGGGACACACCTAAGTAGACACAATTTCAGCCGCCAAATGAGAAAAACATCTCCTAATATTACATCCAACTCCTAGTAGCACTATTTCGGTCCTGAAGGTGTTCTTTTCATAAGGGTTCATGTATGTTTGGAAAAATAAAAATAAATGAAAAAGAAAAATTGTACAGTATCTGAATCCCTAGAAATTAAAATATGAGTTATATAATACCACTGCCAGGTACAGTACTGTAAATAATTTGCATATAAGATGACACTTCACTTATCAACATTCAAATTTATCTCGGTTAAATAAAGAATTTTACCCTCAATCTTTTATGTTATATCATCAAATATGACAGATAACTTTCAAAGAGTTTAGTCAAACAAAGCCTGAACACTGCAACTGGTGCTACTTGATTTATAATCGTAAAAGTTATATCATTTGGATGTACAAATATTTATTTATCCAGTAGATAACATTTGTGGGAATAAAGTAAGCAGTATGTTACACAGTATATACTTAATTACATAGTGTGGCAGGAAGTAAGCTATAAATAGTAACATGTAAAGATACTAAATGCACAGCAAGGAGGTGACTGACTCCAACTGCAATGTTCTAAGTTCACCCAATTAGTACTTAAGAACAAATAATAATACTCAAACATTTATAAGGCGCCAATTCCAAATTGAATGATCAAAGACGCGAGCGTTATAACCCCTGGTCATTGGATAACGTACAATGGCCAACCAGCACAAAGTGCAACTTTCTCTGCTCCCTGGAGAGTATCCCTAGTCGTTCGCTACTTCTTTAGCACACGAAACTAGAACATTCAATGCCACAACATCTTACCAGGTACCCATTTATACTCTTGGGTAGAGAGAGATAAACGTAGATAAAGTGCCTTGCCCAAGGACACAAGCGACTTGCACAGCGGAGAGTTTCGAACACCTGACATCAAGGTTGGGAGTCCAAGCCATAATTGATGCGCCAACCACTTCTACTAAATGCAATCTTGAGTCAAAATTCTATATCATATTGCACATTTTTCATACCTAATAATCTGGATTTCCCATTGACAGGGGATCCATTGAGGATATACCTCACAGTCAATAGGTGACAGGTTGTGGATCTAAAAATCTGTTAATCTAAAACTATACTGTACAGTATCACATAATGCCATGATTGGTATTCCGAGCTCTATATCTGAAATAGGCGTGTTCATTTTAAAGTACTGTAATGGGTTGGTTCATTTCTGAAATCAAAGAGTTCATTCATTCATTTTTTATCCAGCCAATAACATAAACAAGGGAATACAAAACAAAGGAAATTTAACAAATAATTGATACAATAAATAAGTTGGCTAGGATTAACAATAGTGTGAAAAACAATCTGGCTCTCATACCTGACCATACCAATATACAATTTTGTTACAATAACTTATTATCTATTAACGATATACAGATCTCTATAATTCTTAGAAAGTAACTGTTACTTCATATTATATAGAGTGTAGACTTTTGATATTCAAAAACCTACACCAGGTATCTACTACTGTACTAGCATTGACATAGAGGTGATAATGTGGATGAAGATCATTGCCTTAAAAAATACTTGAACACGTGGACAGCTTCACAAATTTTAACTCAATATTTTCAATACAGACCCAAAACTGTATGGCTCATGCTTCCACAGTATATACAGTATAGCAGATGTACAGTTAGTTATGGTGGGTGGGCCACCCAGCCTTAAAATTTTCTACCCTGTCAAAATTTCATTTCATGGCCTCCAACCACCTTTATTAACCCCCTTGTCCATCTTCGAAAAACATTCTTATTATATGGAGTTTAACAATGTTATCACTCAATCACCCTTAAAATGTCTACCACCCAACCATAGTTTAGTTGTGTACAGCCACGTTCAGAGTAAACCTGACTGCTCATCTTCATATCCATGTGATAACAACAAAAAACTAACACTAGTATATTGGCCATACATTTAACTATTCGGTATGTTTTCACTATCACTGGAAGTTTTATTAATTATATTTGAGCAATGAGTGAGTCATAATTGTATAGCTAGCAACATACAGTAATTCAATTTTAGTAGCAGACAAGATTTGAGACTACAGTACAACTTCAATTAATTGAAATCGAGACTGAATTATTCAATAGGTAGTTGCTTCGCTACTGTTACACCAGTCTTAAACCAAGTCCAAATTCTGATAAGATGTTACTATGGATTAGGAAAATAACAGTCCAATCAGAATTCGGAATTGTTTATGACCAGTACTGTAGCAACAGCCACTTCTTACTAAATATTGGATTTGATTCAAGAGCACAGATTTAGGGAGGTTTTGCCACTGTCATTTTTCATTTTTTAATTGAAAAACTTCAAAATGGCATACTAAATGTTACAATATTATTTCATAACAGCATACAATTCTGGATACAGTACTTATTTATCTGTATAAAATAATTATATTGCAGTACATCTACTGTACTATACATTTAATTTTATAATTAATATTATTAATGTTTATTATATTTATTTATTATGTAGCCTGGCATAAATTAACCATTAATGTAAAGTAGAAAACTACTACTACTGTAGCTAACTCTTCAGTTTGAATTCATTTTTAATGAAACAATTTGTAGATTATTATTCTTTGAAAATGATATATTCTTAATGTAACTACTTTTTATGGCATAGAATAAAATCATAAAACTAAACAGAAAAGATGTTTGTTTGTTTTTATTCAAAAAACTACATTATGATTAAAAAATATACAATAACTGACAGAAAATGAAATATTGATAATAAATGACTATTAAAAATGACGTGAGGGGCTCCTCTGTAAAGTAGCATGACCTGTGTGTGTGACTGGACTGATGAATACTGTAGCACTAGGTAGGCCTATAAAATAGTAGTACTGCAGCAGAGAGCTCCCCCCGCCCCCACCGACCAACTAGGCCTAGTAATAGTCCTACTAGGCCTACTACTACTAACATTGAGTGATACGCCAGCCGGAGTTTATCAATTACACTATCAAGATCAAGATCAGAACTAAGGCCTAGGGCCAGTCTAGGGGCCTAGGCCTACTGTAGATAGAAAGAATATTAATTATTGAATTGAAGAATACCCACGATATAAAGATGTAAAATGCTATGCAAATTCGTGTTTAGTTTTGTATAGAAAAAAACACCTTTGAAATGTATTTATTTAATTTATACTAGGCCTAGGCCAGGGCTAGGCTAGGGCCTAGCTAGGCCCTATTGACAGTATTGACAAACAATTTAATCAATAGCAAAAGCACAACTGCCATCAACATGTAAAAACGGACGCACCACCAACTACTATAGACGAAGAACTTGGTCGGGTACCTGTTGTAAGCAAACTAGGGGCAGCTTATGCCCCGAGGAGCCAGTTTGTAGTAGAGCTCAGTAGGCCTAGGCTATGTCTAGGCTGAAGTCTACAGTATTTACAAGGTGAGATTAACAACATAAAGATCCTTCAATTCAACGCATCAAGTCTAAGTTATTGTTTAAAAAGTCAGCTTTGTTAATAACATAATTATTAATAAACTTACTGTTGCTATCAGATTTAGTAATTCCAAGCAACATCCTTCACTTTCTTCCCACAAAACGTCAAGCACAGTCAAGATTTATACACCATTTTTTTACATGTTGACCTTCTCAGAAATTTCTTTTTATAGGGGGCGCTGTTTAAATGAACGCTTGTAGTTATTATCACTTGTTTCTTGTTCAAAATCTCAACAACTGGATTATATATATATATATATATAT